TTTCTTGAGAATTTATAAATTACAACAATAAGCAACAATAATTAACATAACCTGACCAACTTACTTTAACCGCATATGCACAAGACTTTATATATTTGATTTAAACACGAGACGTCTGTGTAATTCAATAAAAAATAAATAAATCATTGACAAATATTTTTCTATAACCCCTATATGAAGAACAACAATCTTAGCATACGCCCTAACCTTAACTATCAAAAGGGGTTCATTTTTAAAAGGTGAATTGAATAAAAAATAAATAAACCTTTGGACAAGATATTTCTTCTATAACCCCCATATGGAGAAAGACAATAATAGTAAACACCCTAACCCTAACTATCGAAAAAGGTCTATTTATAAAAGGTGAATTTAATTTTTCCTATAACCCCGTATGAAGAAAAACAATATTAGTACACACCCTAACCCTAACCCTAACTATCAAGGGGTTCATTTATAAAAGACAGATTTTATAAGTTCTTAAAACTACACATACCTTTAATAATGTTTTTAATATATATTACAATAAAAGTATACTTAGGTCAGAAATACCGGCTACAATATTAGATGTCTTTTTTAATAACAAACTTCTCTAGTTCTTTACAATTGCTACGCTGCAGGTAATATTCAACATGTTGAATAGCAATATTCAAATGCTATTCAACTTGCGCTTTGATCTGTAATTCAATTTTTATATATGAACATGCATCCATGTAATAATTGAATTGCAAATCAAAGCGCAAGTTGAATGGCATTTGAATTTTGCTATTTACCACATCATTGCTTTTACTCTTCTTAGTTTAACTAATGCATAATAACTACTACCAATAAAGATCAATTAATTTTTGTTGTTAATATACTTTAAACATAGCAACTGTTAACATTATAAAGCAAGTCAATCTAGTTAATGCAATTAAGTATACATAGTAAACCAAACAATAAAATAGTACAACATTTTTCATACTAATTATTTGCTAGGACAATTTCATTATCATGCTCTCTACTATTACACACACTACAATGGCGGGAGGTATGGTGTGAATTATCATTTGTTATTTTGATTCTTTTGTTTTTTTCAACTGCTGACTTAATTCACTTTTTCGCAGACCGACCTTTCCCAACATGTCAAAGTGGATTCTGAACCTCAAGATGAGAAGCCTGTGCATGCTCTATAACTTGATCACTTTTTGTTTCTTCTAAAACCTGATCATATTCCAAAACTTCATTATTTACTTGCTCATATTCTGAAGCTTGATCGTCTTTAGTACTTTGTAGCTAGTTTATTTTTTTGCTACACTGTATTTTTTCATGTTTGTAAATCTACTCTTTAAACATTTTCATCAAAACATCAGGATCATTAGGATTGTTATAATTAACCAATTCACACATTTGCGTGCAAGACAAGTAGTGATCCTTTTGTAGATTGTTTTTGCCCAATCGCTTTTGCAGCTGCTTGTTCAGGTGGTTCAATAAATATAGTACTTCACGATTCTTCAACAGCTGAAAATAAGGGTATACTTGGTGTATTTAATGCTGAATCTTCATATTCATTTGATTTAACAAATAGCTCATTACCAACTAATGCATCCACAATATTATCCTTATACCAACAGTTTGGAATAAGAGAAATATAAAAGTGACCTTTTTCAGATTGTAAAATAACATAGAATCAATGGTGACATACAATTCTACTATCAAATAGCAAGATATAGATACACAAATAAAAGCCATTTTTTAATAGAACTACATGTTGTCTAATACTTGACTTATTCTCAATAGAATGAACTTCCCAAACTTCAGCTATTAACAAATGATCAATTTCTTTAAGAAGCTTCTCAAAATATATTTGATGTAAGTCATATTCAATTTCAATCGGCTCATTCTCAACTGTGCCTAGCGTTAAATTATACAGATTATCAAGATCAACCTTTTTACTATTATACAGAACCGCTTCATTCATCTGATCAATATGCAATTGTAAAATTCTAGGTGTTACATATTTCTGTAAAATATTATAAATATTTGGGAAAAGCTTTCCACAAATACTAGATGTTGCTATGTTGATGTTTTTTACGCCAAGCTGAAAACTGACTAGTAAATTGCTCTTTTGCAGCACGTGATTCAATTCGTTTGAACAAAGTATAGAGCTGTGTTTTTCTATTTACTATTTATTTGATTATACTATTTATAGATTCAGACCATTGGGTGAATATTATTCCTGCTGTAAAAATTCAGCTTGTAAATGCTTTTGCCCATATTGTTTTACGTGGGTAAAGCTACCTTAGCAGATATTTGGTTGATTCTGGAAAATCAATCATTAACTGTTTCCAATACCTCTCAAATGCTTCTTTGCATAAAACATTTTGGGTATGGTAAAATGCTTTAAGAAAATCAGTATAGTAGTCACCAAGAAGTTTAGACAATTGTTTTTCAAGATTGTGCTCAATATGCCAGACACAGTGAAGAAGATAGGTATTTGGGTATACCTTAGGAACTACACTCTCAAGACCTGGATCAGCATCAATAATTAATGTGCCAGGCTGGACTCTAGTAGCTTCAATTGTCTGTTGTAATACCCATCTATAACTTTCACTTGTTTCATCAGGAAATACAGCCTGTGCAATGATCCGCGATTTGAAATTATTATCGACTACAGCAAAAATGCTTAATAGTAGGTTATAGGTATTGGTTAATGTAGTGTTATCATTTAGAACTATATCTGCATAACATTACCAAAGTCCTCGTTGTTTAGGTGTCATATAGAATTGCCTTGTAATCTATTTGTCTCTGAATCAATTAATGGTTAAATATACCAATCAGGATCTTTGGCATGCTCTTTTTTAAAATGTGAAGGAGCTTTGTAGCATCACCACCTTCTATTTTATGATTTCTATGAAACTTATAAACATAGTTCTTTACATCATAATCTACTATTGTTGCTTCAGAGAACAACCCACGAAACAACTTCACCTGAGACAGAATGTCAATATCACAAAGTGTATAGCTTTCAATAAGTTTCTTCATTTTTGTAGTAAGCTTCCAATATTCCGTGGCAAAAGCTGCATTTCAGGAACCAATAGATGATTATGTTTAAGATGCATAGAATTCAATTTGATTAACATTTTATCTCCATAGCCCTTAGTCTTAGATGCGTTAACAAGAAAAGGACAATTTATTCTTTTTGAACCCTTTTTTCTTTGTTTTTCAGGTAGTGCAGTCTTACGTGGAGTATATTTACCCGACCGTTCACAATCCCATGTCTGCTGGTATGGATCATTGCTATTATCGACATGTTTTTTTCTAATCACAAAGTTATTCTGCCTTGCATAATGTTCTAATACTTTCTGACATTCATCCCATGTCTCGAAGGTTTTTTCACAATATAACTCAATATGAACTGGAGGTAAATGGTGACTTGTATTTTTAGGGCTGTCTTTTGGCTGTTCTTCATGGTCATTTTCAACATTCAGATTCTCAGCATTGTCAACTTCAACATTCAGGTTCTCAGAACTATCATCTTCAACGTTCAGGTTCTTAAAACTATCAGTAGGTGAACTTTTATTTACTATCAAACTATAATTTTTCATTTTATTTTGTTTTGGGTGGCTATTAAATGAGGTAGATAGTGTGTTTTCTATACTTGCAAAAGAGGTTCACTCTATTAAATATGTAGCTAATGAAGAGAAAAAAAATAAAAAAAACTTCGAAAAAGAATAAAAAGGTTTAATAAAAGAAATTGGTAAAGTATTATTACTATACTAGCAAATACAAGGGATATGAAGAGAAAAAAAAAATAAATAAAAAACTTCCAGAAAAGAAAAAAAAGGTTCAAGAAAAGAAACTGGTAAAGTATTATTAACATGCTAGCAAGGTGCAAGAGATTTAAAAAATATTGATCAGTTGTGAAATATGTAGTGAGAAAAAGGAAACCGAAAAAAGTGTGCTTGTGCTAGTAAAAACAAATTAGCTTGAAAAAAGAAGTGTGCACGTAATCTACAACAAACTAACTATTATGCTTATCTATTATATAGACTATTGCTAGATTACTTATATACGTATGTACATAAGCGATTGCTATATATCAAATTGATTACTATATCTCGATTACTATTTATCACATAAGTAGTGATATATTTCTATATATTTAATTTTATTGTCATCTCTATATGTGACAAAATCATGTGCATGGCAAATAACTTAATTAATTGTAAATTATATACTATTATATAAACTTGAAATTATTACAAATATTGTTTAATTATTGTATACTTTAAATTATTATTCTTAAAATTATTATTTTATTATTATTAATAATATTATTTATTGACATTGTTAAATTACACCACTGGTGTTTAATACTACTATAATTTTTGCTATAAGCTGCAGTTTAACATGAAGATCAGGTATAATACAAAAATTATTGTTTATTTTTAAAAAATGGGCATAACTCAAAAATTTATCTATGAAACTACCTTTGGGGTTCTAACAAAAAAAATTTCTTGCAAAATTTTGGTATAAGCTATGCCTATGCCCTATTCCAGGCCTTAATCCTAACTCTAATATTAAACAAAATTTAATTTTAGTTTTGATAAAAATTATTTAATCTACATGTTACATGAATTTTCATATAACTGGTGTTGAACACTACAGGTGTGATTTAAAATTTTCGTTTTAAATATTATATAAAATTTTATACTATTTTAAAGATTTTATTAAATATTACTTTATTTTTTTGTATATTTTTAAAGTTATATTGGTTTATTGTTTATATAGCTCAATATATATTTATAAACATAAATTAATCAAAATAACATAAAAATTATATTATAATAAAATTTTATATATATTTATTTTAAAGCTAAACTTTATAATAATATATATTTAAAAAATAAAAGAGTATTTCTATTTGTATAAAGGTTGTTTGTACACAAGTATTATTTGAAAGCCAATTAGGTTACATGATCAAGTGTAATATAAACTTATCTTTTTTTTAAAAAATATTACTGATATTTCAAAATTTTGATTATGAAACCACCTTTTGGCTTCTAACAAAAAAATTTTCTTGTGAAATTTTGGTATAAATTATAACCCATCCTAATTACACCCTTAATCTAACTATAGGCAGCAATTTAATTGTTGTTTTATAAAAATTGTTTTGATTCACATATTACACAGATTTGCAAATGAATATCTATGTATATACCTACATATATGATTATAAATTTTTAAAATAAAATATATATTAAAAATTATAAATAATATATATTTAAATTTTTATTTAATTAATAAATTATAAATTAAGAAGAATATTAATAGAAAAATTTTATAATAAAATATATTTAAAAAATAAATATATGGGGGGAAGTCAATAGAAAAGGGACAAATTTTTTCTAAGTAAAAGTTTTTCTAACT